GCGGAGCCCCCAGGGCCAGAGGCAGAAGGCACCCGGGGGGCCAGCGGCAGGACGCGAGCCGGTGGGCACCGGGCGCAGGGGGGACGGCCCTCGCCGCAGTGTCGGGTGTCCACTCCTATCAGGACCGTGGCCGGACAGGGCAGCTCACATCAGAGATGCTGTGAGCCCGCCTGGCCTGGGAGCGGTGGGGTGAGGGTACCCTGGGGGAGGGGTTCTGGGGGGGCTGGGTGCCATGAGGGAGAGCGGTAGGAGGCTTGTCCTTGCGGGTCCCGCCCCACCCCAACCCCCCCAGGCCCTGGGAAACAGTCCCTCCCTGCTGGGCCCTGACCAGCGGGCTCCCATGCCATGCCGGCCATGCTCACTGCCCAGGCCCGCCAGGGTTCATGGGCAGTGCCCAGACGCACAGGGCCCCCGCCTCCCGGCCCTCACCCTCTCGGGGGCCCCCGGCTTGCACCTGCGTGAACTGTCTGTAGATGACTTTGCAGACTTGGTCAGTCAGCTGGACCTTCCCTGCGAGCAGGCTGGACAGCGTGTTCCCCAGAGTGACCACGCCCAGGGCCGCCCTGTGGAGCGGCAGAAGCGGGCTCAGGGCATGCCCAGGGCGCCCACGTGTGTGCTGGCCGGCAGCTGGCCACCGCGGCCTTCAGGTGTCTGAGGCTGAGCTGGGGCGGCCCCGAGAGCCCGGTGGACGGCCCCTGGGTGTCTCCGCGCACCCAGCCCGAGGGGGCAGCAGCAGGACACGGGCCCGCGGTCGGTCCAGCATCCCGCCCCCCGCTGGTGCCGGACCAGACTCCAGGGCAGCCGGGGCGGGAGGGCCGGAGGGACTGACCCCGAGTCGTCCACCACGGGCGCCTGGTCGAAGCCCTTCTCGCGGAGGAGCTGGACGGCCTGCTCGCAGGTGGCCGAGGGCGGCACGGTCAGCGGGGCGGGCAGGCCCAGCTCCTGCACCCGCACACGCCACCACCCCCGCTCCCGGGCAGCCACAAAGCCGAGCAGGTCGCCGGTGGTCACAACCCTGAACGCCGGCTGCCTCTGGCCGGACTTGTCGCCGCTGTGGTCTGCAGGGGGGACGGCGGTGAGGGCCCCTCCTCAGCCGGCAGGCGCCAGGCCCCGGGTGCGAGGGCACCGGCCCCCCTGTC